GAATATTATGAAATGCAAAATGAGTGACTTTGATTACATTAAATTGAAAAGTTTTTGCACAAATAAAGCCAATGCATCCAAGATTAGGAGGGAAGCAGAAAACCAGTGTCTCTGATAAAGGTCTCATTTCTAAAATATATAGAGAACTAAGTCAAATTTATAAGAATGTAAATTACTCCCCACTTGATCAATGGCCAAAGGATATGAACAGGCAGTTTTCAGATGAAGAAATTAAAGTCATATGAAAAAATGTCCTAAATCACTATTGATTAGAAAAATGCAAATCAAAATGACTCTGAGGTGCTATATCATACCTATCAGATTGGCTAACATGACAAAACAGGACAATAATAAATCTTGGAGATGATGTGGGAAAATTGGAACACTAATACATTGTTGGTGGAGTTGCGAAATGATCCAACCATTTTGGGTTATGCACAAAGGCCTATAAAATTGTGCATACCTTTTGACCCAGCAATACCACTTCTGAGTCTGTATTCCAAAGATATCATAAAAATGGGAAAAGGACCCACATGTACAAAACTATTTATAGCAGCTCTTTTTATGGTGGCAAAGAACTGGAAATTGAAGGGATACCCATTAATTGGGGAATGGTTGAACAGGTTGTGGTACGTGATTGTAATGGAATACTATTGTTCTATAAGAAATGATGAGCAGGCAGACTTCAAAAAAAAAACTTGGAAAGACTTACATGAACTGATGCTGAGTGAAGTGAGCAGAACTAGGAGAACATTGTGGGATGACTGACCTTGATAGATTTGGCTCTTCACAGCAACACAAGAATCTGAGACAACTACAAAAGATTCATGATAGAAATTGCTTTCCACATCCAAAGAAAGAACTATGGAGTTTGAATGCAGATCGAAGCAGACTATTTGCTCCTTTTTTTTCTTCTGTTGAGTTTGTTTCCTCTTTCTGGTGGTTCCTTCTATTGGTTCTAATTCTTCCTTACAACATGACTAAAGTGAAAATATGTTTAATAGGAATGTATATGTATAGCCCATATCAGATTGTGTGCTGTCTTGGGGAGGGAGGGGGAGAAAAATTTTAAACTCAAAAGCTTATGGAAATGATTGTTGATAAATCAAAACTAATTAATTAATTTTAAAAAAAGAAGGAACTATGGAGTCTGAATGCAGATGGAAGCATACTATTCGCTCTCCTCTTCCTTTGTTGTTTGTTTTATTGCTTCTTTCTCGTGGTTCCTCCTATTAGTTCTAATTCTTCTTTACATCATGACTAATGGGGAAATATGCTTAACATGGATGTATATAAAGAGCCTATATCAGACTGTACACCATGAAGGGGGGGAAGAAGTGGGAGGGGGAGAATATTTAAAACTCAAAATCTAGTGGAAGTGAATGTTGAAAACTAAAAATAAATAAATTAAATTTAAAAAATAAATAAATAAAATAAAAAAGAAGACCAAGACCATTGTCTTGCCTCAACCCCTTAGACCTCAGCATTATTACCATGTTCTCCTCCCTCTTTCTTGTTTCAGAGGAAGGAAGCCCTTGATTCCATCCTCTCCCACCTCTTCCCAGGCCTTGCTCCATCCACCTGTGCCTCTGCCCTTCCTTCCACTGGCTTCTGAGATGTTCTAGACCCCTCTATCCCATCCAGCTCCTATTCTAGCACTCTCCTCCCCTTCACTGCCAAACTCTGTAACCTTTCCTTTACCCTAACCACCTCTCCCTGTCTCCTGAAAGCAGCATCTCCCTGGCTGTGCTCCCACCCTCCTCCTTACCTGGAATCAAAACAGGAAAGAAGCTCTCTGACAGTGCTCATGGTCCTAGCTCTCCCTGAGTCCTGGTCTCTCTCTCTCTATCTGTGTGTGTGTGTGTATCTGCTTGTCTCTCTCTGTCTCTGTGTCTCTCTGTCTGTCTGTCTTTGTGTACCTCTGTCATGTTTCTCTGTCTCTCTCTCTTTCCGTTTCTTTCTGTCTCCTCTGTCCCCCTTTCCCTCTCTCATCTCTGTGTCTCTGTCTGTCTATCTCTCCCCAACCCCACCTTCTCCTAGAGGATAAAGCACCAGAGAATACCGTGGTTCCTCAACTTTTCTGTGGCAAAAACAAAGAGAAAGTCAGAAATGAAGGGAGTGGTCAATAGCAGTTTCTTATTTTTACTGCTAGGAATAGTGAAGTCTGTGTGACCTGCCCAAGTCAGCAAAAAGGACCCCAAAGAGGTGGCTCCTGGTGGCCCTCCCTGTGGAACAGCTGTGCTCATCACAGAATGGCAGGGAATCCTACGCGAGGTCCTCCAGCATGACCCATAGCGGAACAAGGATCCCCTTGCTGTGTGTGTGTGTGTGTGTGTGTGTGTGTGTGTGTGTGTGTGTGTGT